TGTGCTCCCTTTTTCAAAGTTTACTAAATGTGGAGGATCTCTTCCATATATCACCTTAAAAGGGGTCATCTGAGAAGCTGAGTGGTACAAAGTATCGTATGAATACTCCGCCCATGCCAACCATTTAGCCCACATCCTTGGTGTTTCAGAAGAAAAACACCTCAAGTAAGTCTCCAATTTACTATCTCCGTTTGCCCGTCCGTTTGGGGATGGTAAGCAATGTTCTCTTGAGGACCGTGCCCTATAACCTGAACTGTTCCCTCCAAAACTGACTGAGGAACACTTTGTCACGATTTGATACTATCGACTCTGGAATCTCATGTAGACGAACCACCTCCCTGATGAAGTCTGCTGCTACTGTCTATGCAGTGTATGGGTGTCGTAAAGGGATGAAATGTGCATACTTACTCAGCATATCCGCCACCATCATGATAATAATGAACCCTTCTAATCGTGGTAGGCCATCTATAAAATTGATGGACACTTCCTCCCATACTCTGTTGGGAACTGATAAGGGTTGTAGTAACCTCCTGGAGCCATAGCCATATACTTGTTTCTCTGGCACATTTCACACATTGCCGCCATCTTTTGCACATCCTTATGTATCCCTTTCCAGTACAATTCAATAACAAGTTTCATGTATGTCTTTTTCACTCCGAAATGGCCTCCCATGGCACTCCCATGGAACTCCTGCAATAGCTGGGGAATATGAATGGAGGTTCATGGCATCACAAATCGTCCATGGTACAACATCTCTCTTCCTTGAGGGCGTAACCTGGGTGGCTGCTTCTATCCTTTAGTAGATCCATCAGGAGCTTCTTCAACTCTTCATCCTGCACACTTTCTTCTTGGATACCCCCAATCCACCATCATGGGTATTGAAATGGTTATCTCCTGAAGCTCTCCCCCACACCTGGATAAGGCATTAGCCGCCTTATTCTCAATTCCTGGTCGATACTGGATTTTGAAATCGTATCCCAATAGTTTAGACTTCCTCCGTCACCATCCTTTGCTTCAACAGGTATTTTAAGCTTCTTTGATCTGTCCTGACGATGAAATGCCGTCCTAGCAGGTATAGTTGCCACTTCTGAATAGCCAACATGATTGCCATCAATTCCCGTCCATATACAGACTTCAGTCTTGCTCTAGCTGTCAACACTTGACTGAAGTAGGCTAGGGATCTATGCTGCTGCATTAGCACGGCTCCCAACTCATATCCAGATGCATCTGTCTCAACCACAGATGTCTGATTGAAGTCTAGTAGAACCAAAACGAGTATCGTGGTCATTGTCTTCTTAAGTTTCTCAAAAGTCTAGTAGCCACTTCTCCCAACATGAAGCTATCCTTCTTTAACTACTCTGTCAAAGGCAAGGCTATGTTGTTGTACCCTTTCAGAAATTTTTGGTAGTAACCTGTCAGTCCTAGGAATCCCCTCAGCTCCCTCAAGTTCCTAGGTAGAGGCCACTTCTGCATGGCTTCAATCTTAGCTGGATCTGCTGCCACCCTCTTGAGACACCACATGTTCCAAGTACTCCACATTAGTATGTGCGAAGCTGCATTTCTTTAGGTTGGCCCTAAGCTGATGCTCCTGTAGCACTCCCAAGTCCACCCTTATATGCTCCTGATGCTCTTCTTCGGTTCTATTGTACACCAGTATGTCATCAAAGAAAACTAGGAAAAACCTACGTAGGTACGACCTGAACACTCAATTCATCAATGACTAGAAAGTGGCAGAGGCATTTGTGAGCCCAAATTGCATCACCAAGAACTCATAGTGCCCTCATGCGTCCTGCATGCCGTCTTCTAAATATCCTCCTCTTTCATCCTGATATGGTGGTAACCCGACTTCAAATTCATCTTAGAAAATACTACTGCTCCATACAGCTCATCTAGTAGTTCATCGATCATCGGAATGGGGAACTTATCCGGCACAGTCTCCTTATTCAATGCCCTGTAAACCAGAAAGAATCTCCAGCTCACATCCTTCTTCTTGACCAGTAAGATCGAACCTGAGAAAGGACTCACACTTGGTCTGATGATTTCTGCTTCCAACACCTCCTTGATCAGCTTCTCAATCTCGTCCTTCTAAATTTGGGGGTAGCAGTAGGGCCGCACACTAATCGGTGACACCCCCTCCATAATGATTACATGCTCCTGCTCTCTGGGTGGTGGTAAGCCTTGAGGTAGCTAGAACACCTTACTGAACTGCTGTATGAGTGGTTGTACTGCCATGTCAATGTCTCCCTCTTCCTCCACACTGCCCTCTCTAAGCGTTGCAGCTCCACCAAATATCCACCACCCATCTCCTGTATGGTTCTGATAATGGATTTGAGAGATACTCCGGCCCTGGACAACCCTGCATCGCCCTGGATCACCATCCTCTTTCCTCCTACCATCACTTCCATCCTCAGAGCACCCCAATTGACCTTGGTCTCCCCCAAGGTCTGCAGCCATATTCATCCCTAGGATGACATCGGTACTCCCCAACTCCAAGGGAAGAAAATCCTCCCTCACCTGTATCCCTTGAATGATCAACTTCACTCCCCTACAAACTCCTCTACCCATCTCCACCTTCCCCGTGCCCATCATCACCCATCATCACTCCATATTCTCCCGTGTCCACTTATTTCACCCCCAATAAATTTACGATATGATTATAGATGAAATTGTGGGTGGCCCAACTATCGATATGTACCACTACCTCACGGTTTGCTATTTCCCCCCTCACTTTCATGGTGTGATTTGGGGTGAATCCCACCACAGAATTTAGAGAGACTTTTGCGACATCCATATGTAAGTTCTCTTCCTCCTCCACTATCCCACTCTCACCTCCCTCTTAAGTTTCTTTGTCATTATAGACGGTGAGAACCTGAAGATTTCAGTCCTTACACCTATGCCCTGGCATGTACTTGTCATCACACCTGAAACACAACCCCTTAGCCCTCTTCTCCTGTATCTCCTTCTCAATAAGCTTCTTAAAGTTTCCCCAGGTTTCCCTCCTCCAGGCTTGTCCTTTAGTACTTCGCACAAAACTCCCGGTGCAGCTCCTTTGGGAGCTAGAAAGGTAGTAGTCATCCTGTAGGATCCCCCATAGCTACTGCTTTGAGCCCCCCTCTCCAGATGCTTCTGGTCCTCGACCAGCTGCGCTAACTCCATGTCCTCTCCCAAGTCGCGTGGTCTCATCACTCTTAACAGCTGCTCTGATCTCCGGTTTGAGCCCCTTCATGAAGTTCCCCTCAAGCACGGTCTCAGATAGACGATCCAGCCTGCTAGCTAGGTACTGAAACCGATTACGGTGCTCTGCCACTATCCCCTCCTGCGTCAGGGCAAAGAATTGTTCGTAGAAGTCTCCTCCCTTATTGGTTCGGAAATGTTCTAGTAAACAATCCTTGAACTCCCTCCAGCTTCGAATGGGTTGCCTCATGTCCCGCCATTGGTACCATGCCAGTGTCTTCCCTTCCAAACACAGTCCTGCCGCTATCAGTTTCTCCTCCTCAGTCAACCCATTGACTTCAAAGTATCGTTCCACCTTATAAATTTAGCCATGTGCGTCCTCACCCTCAAAGATGGGCATCTTCAGTTTCCTCACCCTCGGGTCACCCCCGTTTCCCCTAACTCCATAACCTCCCATTCCTCGAAGAGGAAGTGCTCCCCAGTGGTCATGATCTTCCCTCCGACGATCATACCCGAACCCTTCCTCATATTCCCCTCTTCTCCTTTCAAATTCAGCTCCCCCCTTCTTCCAACAAATTTAGTACCCCTCCTTTTAGCCCATACTCATCTCCTCCCTAGAAAATGGTTATAGAGGAGGCATTCAATCATCTCCCTCAAGGATCTCCACTTCCAGATTCTCCTTCCCCCTAAATGGGTTCGGATTTCCGCCTCTTCCATGCCGCCGGTGGTCTCCTTTGCTTCCGATGTTGCTGGATTTTGTTTGTCTTCAAACATCTTCTTCATCATGTCTTCCAAAGTGGTGAACCTTCCATACATCTTTTCATGGATGGAAGCAAATTGATTATGAAAATCAGCGATTTTTTCCTCCAAATTTGTCTTTAGTTGACATATTTCTCCCTCCAATACTTCAACTTTCCTTCCGGCTATTTTCCTTCCCAAGATTTATGAGGTCTTGTTGCAGATGACATTTTTTTGCTAAAATTTCTGGATTTCAGCCGCCGATGGTCCCAAGACAACGCTATGATACCAATTTGATAGGAAATACTTGAGTTCGCAAGTAACCCTAAGGGAAATACTTAAGTTTGCAAGCAAACCTAGCAATAATCGGTAAAAACAGCAAGAAATATGCTGATTTCAGAGAGAAAACAGAAAAAAACAATGTAGGAATCTCAGGATATTGTAGAGAAACACAAGGAAAACTTCTATTCAATCTAGGAAGAAAAAAAACATTACAAGATACTAGTTTCTTCGATTCGAGAGGAAGAAACAACTCTCCAATTCTCTAGCAAAGCCTAGAGCCTAAGAACACAAACCCTAGATCTCAAATCGCTTTCAAATTCAAGATGAAAAACAAACCCTAGCCAAAAAGACTAATTAAAGCAAAAGGATAAAAGTTTAATCCCTAAACAGCCCCCTAATTTGAATTTTTCCCTCCAAAGCAAGGATTAATTAGTGAGTGGGCCCCTCCTTGTTCCGCCCCTCCCCCTGTTGCCTCCGCCTGTAGACGTGAACCAGTCTACTAGGAACCGGTTCAGCCGGCTTAGGTCCGGCCTAACAGAATGCAAATGGAAAAAAGTTTGGCTATTAAATTTCATTTTTTTTTTTGTTTGTTTGTGGACTTTCAAAGTGATTCATGATCTAATTTTTAAATGTGAATGGTTGTAGCTGATGTCTGAATGCAACTTTTAGGCTCTTTCATGAGGTAGCCTTGTGGTTTTGATACAGATGTCAGTTCTGTAGCTGGTGTCTGAATGCAACTTTTAGGCTCTTTCATGAGGTAGCTTCTTTGTTCTGTTCTTAGTTATTTGACAAGTTGGTGTTTATAGGGCACTCTGGCAGAACAGTACCAGTAACTTCTCAGACACTTGCGCCAAACAGTCAAAATGAATGCCTTCAACCAGCAGTTGTGCCTGAGCTTTTCAAGATTAAGTCTCGTTTGGCTATGGATTTCACTGAAATTGAACGAGGATTGGGTGAGGCTGAGATTTCTGCTTCTATTTCATCAGATTTGCAAAAAGATGATCCATTGAAGAAGTTCCTTCCTCCAGCAATAACCATGAATTGTTCGGAAGAGCTTCAGGTAATTAAATCTTTTCATCATTAACGTTTTGATATTTGATTTAATTAATTATTAAAATCCATGCACAACCATAATCAAGGGTTGTTAGGATTCATTTAGGGGTAATGTAAAGCATTCAAAACTCACTTGGCCATTTGTAGTGTATTTGAAATCCGTTGAAATCGAGCGAGTTCCAAATACATCGCATCTTTCTTGTGTGAAAACGAGTGAAAACCCAACTGTTTGTCTCCCACAGTTCCCGCAGGCACTCTTCCTTCTTCCTTCCTTTACTCTCGCATCCCGCTCGCCTACGACGTTCCAGCGACGCTTTGGCTCGTGACACTTTTGCCCACGACAGGCAGTGACCTAACTTCTTCCCTCTCTCGCTCGAACTTCAGTCGGATGGGTAAATGGCTTTTATTTGTACAATTTTTTTGACATTTCTGAATTGAAACTAGCTTTGTTTCGGGATTTCTATGGTTTCAAATAGAGATTAGATGAATGTCTTTGCTTTGGATTTTTTTTGCCTACGAGATAAATAGGAGGATAGATTTTTGTTTTGAAAATTATTATGAGTATTACAGGTTTTCTTAAAAAAATTCATAAAATTTCTCATTTGTCTTGCATTTCAATAGATTAAGTTTTGGAAAGATTCTGAACATAGTAATTTGGAGAAGAGAATGGTGAGCCAAATGGTGAAGAATTTATTTTGTCAATCAGGGAGTGAGCATGGAGAAGAGAATGGTGTTGCTTGAGCAGTTTGGAGAAGCTCTTTTTATTTTTAGTGAATGAAAATCAGTAACTTGTTTGATAGAGAATTGAATAAATTGCAAAGTTTATTCCAGTTTGTTGGTCCTTGCTAATACAATACCAAACAACCCCTAAGATATTCAAAATACACTGTTTTTATTTTACTCTGCATATACCTCACCAAACAAGAAAAATAATTCCCATGCATTTACTTTGCAGTCAATCAAATAGTCCTAAAGTATCTAAATATATTATATTTATTTTACACTATATTTACTTTACACTGCATTCTTTTTTCAGGTAACCAAATAAAAAAAAACAATGCACAAGCAAGCCTATAACTCAGACTTCATTGGTGTGCAAAATATAGGATTTCTAGTTCTAGCATGGCCACTATCCCAAACATGATTTTCCTATCCCTAAGGGGAAGGCACTTCTTTTCTGCTTTATTTTTGGGTGAGGATGGATGCTAGTGATCCACACAATGAGTTGTAGCCTCAAGCTTACCATTCAGGGACATCCAACTATAGGTTGATAATTGTTGGCTCAAGAAAAACGACGTGAAGGCATGAATCCTGCTTTACAAACATAGAATTCCATTCTCCTTAAATCAGATGGTAATTAACTAGATTTCTCCTGAGAATAGTGTCGGGTTTAATTAGATCTTGGTCCTTATTTCTCATAAGCGCAAGCACTCATAGTTGATTACCCATCTTAATACGTAAGAGAAAACTTCCAATTAATGATGAATAAATTTTAGGTGTTTTAGTTTTAATTGTGGGGAAAATAAAGGTAAACCTGATCAAGATCCCATGATTCTGTCATCCTGGGTATACCATAAGTTTTAGTCTACCAACACTAGCAATCATTGACCTTAGTGTCTAGGGAATCTGATCAGCAACCATGAGTTGCCTCCTCTCTGGTATTCTGAGTAGACTGAAGTGGTTAGATATGAATTTTAGTTTGATTGAATTTTGGGGTTTACATTTATTATAATACCTAGTAGTTGGTTTGGTTTGGGGTTTATGACTTCATTTAGAAGTCACCCAAAAGTTTGAATTAAAGCAGGTCTTGCGATTTCTATTAGAAGTAACCCATATATTTGAATTTGGGTTGAGACTTATGGCTTTCATTAAAAGTAGCCCGTAAAGTGGCTCTTACAACTTAGCCTCATATACTAAGATGCCCGAAGGTTTTAAATTTGGTTGTTTTGGTTTTAGGGTTATTGCAATTTATTTAACAATTTCCCTAACATGTGGGTTTTATAACTTCACTTAGAAGTTGTTTGTTGACGGGTCTTATAACCTAGCCCTATAGGTTAAGCTACCTAATTATTTTGGTTGACAGGTCTTGCGACTCCTTTAGAAGTTGCCTGTAGGTTTAATTTGGAGTGTAGCTTACGACTCTACTTATGAGTTGCCCAAAGATGGGTCTTACATCCTAGCTCTATGACAAGGTTACTCGTGGATTTAATTATTTAGGTAGGTCTTACAACTTTTGTTTGGAAGTTGTCTAAAAGTGAGTCTTACAATCTAATCCTTTAGATCAAGATGCCCGTTGGTTATTGTTGGAGGGTTTGATATTTTATTTAAAAATTTTCTAAAATAATAGATCTCATGACTCAAATTAGAAGTTATCTAGTTATGTGGATATGATGGGTCTTACTGCTTCTCTTTGGAAGTAGCTCATTAGTTGGTCTTATAACCTAGCCCTATAGGAAAGGCTGCCCATTAATTAGAATTTGGTTGACAAGTCCTACAACTTCCTTAGAAGTTGTCTGGTTATTTGGGTATAAAGTGTCTTACTGCTTATGTTTGGAAGTAGCTATTGGTGGGTCTTGCACAGACTAAATATATTTCATCCTTAGTCGAGAGTGTTCTTCTAATGCGTTAATAGGGTAATTAACTCTGAGGGCTTGTGCTCATATGAAGTATAACCCATATCTAAATAAACCATGTCATTACTCTCAGGGGAAATCTATTTAAAATTTAAATTCAATCAACCTGAGAAAAATTGGAACCTTAAGCTTGCAAGAGCGAACATGTTGTCACGTCAACAATCTATGGAACATCTTAATTGTAATGAATTCTATATTAGTTTTCATTCTCTCATTTTTGTATATTTCTTACTAGTCCCCACTTAGAGTCTTATACTTCCTTAAATCTAGCACAAATGATAGAATCAAACACTATAAATTCTCTCCAAATTTATGTAATCTTTTAATGTTAGGTTATGCACTCATGTCCCATGGAATATTTCATCCTCCTTCAAGCTCTATAATAACTGTTTCAAAGCCTGGCATATCTCAATTTTATTTATGTGGGAAATGTGCAATGGAATCTGCCATGTGCATACGCCTGACACTTTTTTTCATACCACACAGCATAACTCGACAATTTACCTCATTACAATATGAAGCCCTTTGTGGGTCTCCGAAAGGATTTTGCTCGTGTGATTCGAATGCAAAGGGTACGATCACACTATCCCGTAGGACAAAATGGTCGTAAGCCTTTACAATCAACACAAGCAGGCCGATGGAAGAGCAGATGGAGTTATAGATACGATTAGCCATGGAGGATAGCAGGTTTTCACCTACCAACCTCGATGGATAATAATATCTATAACCCTAAATTCACGAGATTTCCCCCATTCGATACATCAGCTCGAATGAGGTTTATTTGATCGTGGGGATCGGTTTCCTACAGGCGCAAGCCCCCATAGTTAATTACATCATAAGCCTTGACTTAGGAAAACTCTCGATTAAGGATATTAGATTATCTTCTCTAATGGGTTTAGTGCAAGGGGATTTCTAGGCTTTCCTAATCAAAGAGAAAGAGTGTCCCAAGTTGGCTTAATCAATCACACATGGTCCAGTCAACATCCGGTCGGCTCAAAGAAGTGGAAACTGGAGAAAAAGAAGGGCGACGCAATCAGACATGCACAAGAGAAGGAAGGAGGTGGCGTCATCCGTGTGACGCAGATGGGTAGGGTTTATAGCTTCTGAAAGGAAGGAAGACTTACCCACCGATAAGGCGTATAGTGGTTCACTTGTACCACTCACCTTTAGATCTCAAATCTATAAGAGGTGTAATATCGTACATACGACATTAACACCTACGACCTAACTAATGCAGTCTGGACTTATTCCTTGCCTGAAAAAGGAAGCCAGCTAAAATCCTAGGCACAACCAATCGCCCTATATGTATGCAAGATGGGAAGGCTCTATCTTAAGGATTCAACGATTAATAGTTCAGAAGACTTAAATCAACGACTCTACAATATGCAGACGAATAGACCTATCGTTGTATGATGCATGAAAAGATGCAAAAATAAGAAATGTCCTTTGGTCCACTAATACAATGCATGCATGTAAGGTGCGTTGTGGAGAAAAGTGTGTAAGAACAGATGTGTGCATGACATCCAGAGTACAGAAAAAGTAAATAAACACACCCTAAGGGTACCCTCCAGGCAAGGTACCCGCACAGAAAATCATCAGAGTCATGCCCACTTCGTGTGGGAAAACAACGATGCCCAAGGGCATAAATAGGTGGCCTACTCTACAGGCCTAAATGACCCTAAGGGTCTCTAAGGCTCACAGAAGGTGGAGGGTATCGTACCCAAAATCGGAAAAGGCCAAGATCCTAGCAGAAAAACAATGATGCCCACTTCGTGTGGGAAAACAACGATGCCGACCGGCACAAATAGGTGGTCTACTCTACAGGCCTAAATGACCCTAATGGTCTCTAGGGTTCACAGAAGGGGGGGCAAGCTTTGCCCTATAGGGCCAAAGCTTCGTCAGTGCACTAACCTATGGCTGGCTACCTAAACATGCTAGAATACATATCAACAAAATGTGTGTGATGTGTAGCAGTCTCGATATATAAGTAGGAGTTTAGGTTGCAAAAAATCATACCTGAGCGTGGCGCAGCCACTCAATAATTCCAAGCAAGCAAATTGTCCATTGATTCTTGATCGTGCAAGTCTCGGTGTACCTCGCAAAATAAGATAAAAGAGAAAGATATATATGAGCGTAGATGCCGTTCAGAAAAGAAATGCATGTAAATAAGATAATATAACTGACTGAAAATTTAAGAATTGCATTTATAGAATATAGGCATGTAGTAAATACTGAACAACAAAAGAAAATATTAGCCTAACCTAGGGCTAAAGGTCGTGTCCTAACCAAACAAGTCTAAGGTGTGTGTAGGCTGTGCAGTTTTGGATAGGTCCTATGTAGGATGATTTAATTGAAGTTGCTTATAATTTGATTT